ATCAGCTGGATGGGTCTTGCCTCTAGCTTCTTTGCAGGGAGTTCTGCTGAAGGGTTCCGTGCTGGGCCTGCAGCCTGGGTCAAATGAGGATCCGCGGCCCCGGGTCGTCTCACTCACTCGCAGGGCCTGCGCTCTGGGTCTATTCAGGATCCCGTGGCCTCGGTCGTCTCACTCCTCTCGTTAGAGTTTAGATCTGGTGTGCATCCCCGACGTCTGCTGCCTTCAGAGGTGGGGCTTCTAGAAAGTGGGTCGTGGCGGCGCTTGCTTACCCGTGGACTGATCCATGGAGGCGTTCCTAGCCAAACGCAGGCTAGGAGCGGGGTGTGGATGAAGGACTTGCGTGACGAGGGCGTGTTTTGGAGGGCGTCCCCCCTTCTCTGGTTCTTCTCTTCTCGCTTGGCTCCCTGGTGACCATGATGAACAGCTTCCCTCAGCGATGCCTTCCACGCGCCGCTGAGCCTCGGAGCCACCCATCGCGGACCAAACCTAAGCGAAATTACCCTCTTCTTCAACTTCTCAGTGCCCAGTACTTTGTCCCAGTGGGAAAGTGACCGATACACCCCCAGCCCTTGAGGTTCATCTCTAATGGATAGAAAGTAGCTTCCGTTTGGCAATCTTTCTAGCACTTGCCCCGTTTAAACAATTCATCATGAAATTATCAGTCTGAGTGGGGTGAGGCCTGCCTACCATCTTGCCTTTTGCTTCCTGCTCGCCCCCAAGTGGGATCATAAGGATCGCACGTCCCTTCTTTCTCCTTGTGTATCTCCTTTTGGACGACTAGAGCAATGTTTAGTACCTTTCGATGTTACTGATTTATTAGCTACACCTTCTATCTTTAGTAGATGATTTTAAAATTATGATTTTCATTTTAGCTTGCCAATTTTGTCTTCAAGTAGTATCGAACGACATCACATACAAGAACCTTACACTTGCATTTTTTTCACATTTGTGCTGTGGTTATCACACATCTTACTTGGCTATGTATCATCCAAGTAAGATAACTCCACAATTCATTTTTATTTCTTTGCTTCAGAGATTCAATTATTTTTAGAATAATTGAAGATTTTTAAAAACTGAATATTGTCTGGCAGGATGGATCATGCCAGCACTCTGGGGGGCTGAGGCAGGAGGATTGCCAGCTAGAACCCAGTTAGGTAATTTACTGGCTTAGAGAGAACTTGAATGAATGAATGAATGAATGAATGAAGAATGAATGATGAATGAATGACGAATGAATGACGAATGAATGATGAATGAGTGGGCGGTAAGGACCAGCAATGCAGCTCCCTTGTGAGGGCACTGCCTTAAATTCCTCTACAGCAAAAGCAAAACAGAAAGACAGTCTAACAAATATGGTGTTTCCACTTTCAGTGCTGTTATAAGTGAACCTTTTTCCTTTTATTTGGGGAAACTTCCCCGGCTTTTCCTTTAGTACTTGTTTTCTGACATGACCCCTACAGTTATTTCTCCTCTGAAAAAGGTCCAGGTGCAGAACTCCAGCTCGATGGCTCTCTTTGCTACAGCACATCCTGTCGTTTGCTCCCGATCACCTCATTTCTGGCAGCTCCAGTCAAGTGCAAAGGCAAGTGTTGGGGAATGAAATTGGTGGATGCACACTCTCTATGCTGAAACTCTGAACATGTGAAACTGGGGGAGGCAAGGAGAGTGCTGGAGGAGGGGTAATTACAGTGTACTCTGTGTGTGTGCAGATTTGCCAAAATGAAGCCCATTGATCTGTATAACAAATATGTGGGGGAAAATTCCACACTCAACATACATTCATGTGTTATCTTCTTTCTTTTTGATTGTCTTTATAGCCCTCTATCACATGTGTTCAATGACCCGCATATAGTATGCCCTGGTGTAGTTTTTCATTATGCTTATTTTTACTGAAGTTACTGACCTTCTTAAATTTACAGATTTCATGAAATTTGGAAACACTTGGTCATTATCTATTAGATATTTCTTTTATCCTCTTTCTTTTGGTATATCAACATTTTAAAGACTTTTAATTGAAAAGCCAAGTAGAAATGAAAAACTTTATAGGGTGAAGTGCCAAAAGATTTAAATTTACTTGATTTTTTTTCCATTTTGTAAATCAGAAAGGCAGAATCTTGTGGCCATGAATAACATAAATTCTGGGGTCAGAGTTCCTAGCTTTGACTTCCTACTCCAAGGCTATGTAACTTTGGACAAGTTCATTCCTTTTTCCCTGCTTCTTTCCCCTCCCTCTCCCTCCTCTTCTCCCATCCCTTTCCCCCTCCTCCCTCCCTGTCCCCCATCTCTCCCCTTTCCCCTTCAAAGTGGGCTGTGTAATTGCTGTGTGACCTTGCCAAGTGATCCACTTTGAGAGTCCTAAGTTTAGAAGGAGATGCTAGTGGTACTCAGCTCACAGGTTCATTGTGGGGCAAAAAGACCCACAGTGTGCCCACTGAGCACAGGCTGCTGAGCCTGGCCTGTCTCACAACAATTTGCTTTATTTCTTTGACACATTTTCCTTATCATCCACATTGTGTATGTTGTGGGGCTCTTACTAGTTGGAATTTATGGGGTGCATCTAGTTCTTAAAATGATCAGTTTACTCAAGATCCAAGATACAGCTAAGCCCCTTTCCTGTCAGATGATCACTTCAAAGAGTGGAATAAACTGAAATCAAGGGCCTTATGAGGAAGACAGAGTCTAGGTGGGGGAGGAGATCTTCATCCTCATGTCTTAGAGCCATTGTTAATGTAAGCGATACTCCTACTTACAATTCTAGGATAACCTTGGAATTGTTTTGTAAAGAGGGCCAAGCCATCCCTACAAGAAAATTTATTCCCTACAGGAAATTAGACACTGACTGCCTTCAGATTTCTTTCCTTTCTTCCTTCTGTCTTGTATAGTTATGCATCAGCATCATGTACAGGATAAAGAAAGCTTTCTTGTCTTGAGACCAAGGATGTAGGTGGCCTTACACAGGGGACCAATAGGAGCCTGAGATTTTCCTCCTTTTCTAGTTATCATGTTTCTACTTGCTCCTTGATCCAGTCACAGAAAGACTTCATTTATAAGTAGGTTCAGAGTTGCTTTCAAAATACATTGCTTTTCCAGGAGAACAAAATGCATTAAAACCCAAACATTTTCTTTAAAATTTTTTATTTGAGTAAAATAATATGTTTAGTTTTAGCTACGGCAGAGAAAAAGATTCTAACTTGTCAGTTTAAAGATGTTAGAGACCAACCTACACGGCAGCCTCCAAAAGGTGCGCTCTTGACTTTTAATGGCATAATGTTGGCCTATGTTCAAACTGACTAGGATCCAGAAAAAACTGACAGTAAGGGTCTACATTTGTGTAATCATTTTGCTACACAATTTTGTATCTGTGGCCTGTAGGTTTTTACTTATTTTATGATACATGTCAACATGTAGAGGTACTCTGAGCACATAGCATGTATGAAATAAATATTTATTAAACTGGATTGACAAACACCATTAAACACACTCTTCCTAACAACCAAGCCAGCTATTACTTCTCAGCCTTCTGGTGACACGATGTAACTGGACATCATATTCAAGTTGGTTAGATCCTTGGAAGAAGTAATAGTGTCCTAAAAATGAAAACAAGTCATTTAATTTTCCCCTTTGTATTTCTTTTCTTTCTTTTTTTTTGTATTTTTGTACAAGGTCTACAGGTTCTCACTACATAGATCAGACTCATAGTGATCCCCCTGTGTTCAGCCTCCCAAGAGCTGGGATTACAGGGTTGAGCCATCATGCCCAATCTCAATCTCTGTCTCAGTGTGCCTTGGGGCAGGGCGGCACATCATGCCAGGGATTGAACCCTGGCCACTGCATCTGCCTAAGTAGGCACTTTAATCTGCTGAGCTATCTGGCCACGTCCCCTCCCCTTTGTATTGCTTTGAAAAATTAGATTTATTTTAATAGATTGGCTAGATTGGATGAGCTATTCTATAGAATATAAATCTTGGGGACCTTAGCAGTGTACCCTGCCCCCACATACCTAGTCACTCTCAAGCACACCCCGGGCACAGGACTCCAGAGATGGTACTGGAGCCACATCGGGCACCCAGGAGTCCTGCTAGAGGACAAGTGATGAGGGAAACATTTTAAATATGGGACCGTTGAAAATTTTGCTTAGGCTGAATTCGATGTTCACAACAAAATTTGAGCTTCTCTTACTCCACCATCAGGGCCGGTCTAAGGATAGGAACCTGGGAAAAGTAAAAGCTGCAAGGTCTAGGAGCAGACGGAGCTCCTGTCTGGCCGGAGCCCCTGGTGCAGGCTCACCAGTTCATGCTGTGCAGCTGATATGCTCACAGGAAATTCCAGACTCAAAGATGAGGAAAGCAGCACAAGCGCATTCCTTCCACCTGCCCGCCAGGCCACCCCAGGATATGTCATCGGCGGCCCGCTCCTTGGCCATCCTCTCCTTTCCTGTCCTAAGTGGAGTGTAAGTTTTCCCTCTATGGCCTTACGGAGAATTGCAGAGTCCTGATCCTTGCTCATTTGGAGCCCTTCCCCACTCTTTTTTCCCAAGCTGGTTGTGGTACTTTGGGAGGCCGAAGCAAAAGGATCAGTGTTCAAGCCTAGCATCAGCAACTTAGTGACTTAGCAAGACCTTATTTCAAAAAAATTTTTTTTAAAGTTGTAAAGTGTTGGAGGTATAGTTCAGTACAAAGGCTCTGGTTTAAATCCCTAGTTCCATAGATAGATAGATAGATAGATAGATAGATAGATAGATAGATAGATAGAGATAAATAAATAGATAGATTTCTCATGTCCTCATGGTCTCCTACTCACCTTTGAAGTAGAAGGCTGCATCAATTTTGGGCCCGACGCCTAGGAACTTCCTGCCAATCAGTTGAGGATAACCGGGGTCCATGGACTTTCTCCTTTCATCATACCTGAGCAGGAAATAAACAGCAGGAACTCATTCAGAAAGTAGACTTTATGACAGGACTGCAAACCTAATGTCTGTCCCAGGAGGCTGCTCCTGAAAGGCCTGAACTGTACTGATGAATGAAACTAAGGGGCAAGCAGTCTGCCCATTGACTGAAAGTCCCTGCGCGACTCGGAACCCAGTCTTCCAGACTCTGGCTGAGCCTCCTGCCGTTGCCCCTCAGTGCTTCTCCCGCTCTTGGTTCTGCCCCAGAGCCTGGCATTAAGTGGATTTTGTGTACTGCAGTCCCTTGCAGACTCAATTATTTGGCTGTATGTTATTGCCTTCATTTCAAAACTTTCTACCAAAATTAAAAACAATTATTTTTTTCCCAATAAAATGATAGAAGGCAAGGGTTTAAAAGCCATGGAGCCAAAAAGTTTTAAACATACATATTAGAGAGAAATAAAAAAAATAAACCATTTTACTGTATCCAGGCTTCTTAGACCCCAGAGTTTTTCTTTGTTCTGTTTTACTCAGGAGTAAAAGAATTTTGTTGCTCTCTAGACTTCCAAGTAGCGGTTGAATCTATTTGTTATCAACTTCGTTTTCCAAATATCTATTGCTTGTCATGCATGTAATAATTGTAGGCCCTTGTTTCTGTCTTTCAAGGAAAAGAAAAATCTTGGCCCAGGTGGAATCAGCAAAGGCCATGCAGACACTGGTCAGAATTAAAATGTCAGTGTTATTGATAGGCAATGAATTACATCAGTGTGTGGACTCTTAAGAAAGTTCTAGTTGCTAAAATCAAGCATTCTTCTCTCGAGTTGTGGGTGCAGCACAGTGGTAGAGTATTTGCCCTCCACACCCAGAGCTCAGGGTTTGGCCTCCAAGAAAAAAAAATTGTATTTCTCAAATTAGGCTAAGGTTGTTGTCAAACTCATGCCATAAGCATGTGGTATTCAACTGAAGGTAGGCGCTGAATTTAATTTAATTTACTCATATTTTTGGTACTGGGGGTCGAACTCAGAACCTTGCACTTGTCAGCCGGGCTCTTACGTGCTGAGCTATCTCTCTGGCAGGTGCTAAATTGTAAATGTGTAAGAATAAGTAGAGCTGATACTGTGACCTTCTTAGTGCATCCTACTGTGCCTATTTCAGCCTGTATCATCCAATCCAGGAAATGATTGGTGTCCTCAGAAGAGGGTTCAGGGCAGCGGTGGCGAGTCTATAGCACATGCTGTGGTAGCTGTTTGAATCACTGAAAGCTCTTACGGGTTCGCCATCACTGCTATAGAGGATCCTGGCCTCCTCCAAAATTAGACTCTGGAGAGAAAGCCAGACAACTGCTCAGGTGAGCTGCTGGCTCTGTCTGGCCATCTGATTCCTTGTTAGGGTAGGCTTGTTAGGCACATCCCATCGAAGGACGGGTTGGCTTCCCCATTGTGTCTTCTGGGTATGGTAGTCACAGAGAAGAGTCTAGAATTCACACAACCTGAGAACGACTGTAGACTAAATAAAAGGCCTCATACATCTACAACACTATTTTCCCAGTGTTTCCACTATAAGCAACAAAAAAAATTTAGTTCAGGTATTCTTTTCGTTTTTTACCCTCCACCCCACAGCATTGGGGATTGAACCCAGTCCCTCAAGTGCTCTTCCACTCAGGCACACCCCAACCCAAAAATATTCTTTTAAAAAATGCATTATATATGATCTCATGTATCAGAAACCAAAATCATAGAGGAGAGGACCAGGCTGACAGACAACTACTTCCAGCTTCTGTTTTCTTGAGCACTCGCCCAGGGAGGTCAGGGCTCTCTGAGGTCTTGCCCAGCAAGGCCGCCTTCTGGAAGGCCCGCTCCATTCCTGCCTCGCAAGGAGGCAGAGCACCAGCGAGGGAAGCTCACCTCCAGTACTGCTCATCTACAAAGAAGTAAGTCTTAGAGTACAATGGGTTGAAGAGGGCTGCGTCCAGTTTCTTCACATGCCGGGGGAGGCCCAGAGAGTGTATGCTGCTGGGATAGTTCGGCTGTGGTCTTAAGTCACTAAGTAACCAGTACTTATCATCTGTGGAGACAAAAAAATGGCACATGAGAACTAGACAGTCATATGAAGCACCGACTTGGCACCAGCGCCGTTCTTTCCCGAGTCCTAAATGTGCTGCGCTTGCCTTTCTAGAGCAGGGTCCCTCTTCTGGCGTCGTGTCCCCTCCCCCACGGACATTCCTGTCTTATATTTTACAAACTTTCCTCAAATGTTGCACATACTTCCGGGGCAGTTAAGCAACTATAACGTACGGTTTGGAGCCATGTTTAAGAAAAGGAGGAGTACTTTTTTGGTCTCCATCTATAAAAAGTAGTAATATTTCTTCAACTCGTTTTCTTTTCCTTAAAGTATCTTTAACAGCAAAGCTAAATATTTTTTTTTCTCTTTCCTTGATTTCTTTTCTTTTCTTTTTGTTTTTGTTTTACTAGGGATTGAACTCAGGACCTTGCACTTTTCAGGCAGGTCCTTGTACCACTGAGCTATCTTCTCAGCCCTCTTCTTAATTTCTTATAACTTTTTTCTTTCTCTTTCAAATTTTCCATGCATATTCTGGCAATCTGAACAATTAATTTGAAGACCACACTTTGCATTACCACAAATACTGTCAAATTCATATTATTTTGTTTAGTAACAGTCTATGTCATTTGTAATTTTTTCTTTTTTAATACTATTTTATATTCTCTTCAAAAACTAGAAAAAAATTTTAAAAACTGAACATTGGAATTACCTTTAAAAAGATAAACTTGGTTTCTGGCTTCAATTTCATAGGCGGCTTGAATGCCATGTGGCAAGGTTGGCCATAAGGAAGACACTGAGCTCACTCCGACTTTCGGCTCCTCAAGAGGCTTCCACCAGAAGAACCTGCCACGAGGGATGTTTAGCGCACGGTAAGTACTACTGCAGGGAACGTACGCAAGCTCCTTGACACGAGACTGGCAAGGAACTGTGAAACGCTTGGGTATTTCTCCCCGTTATCGCCCATTCCAGTCTGCGGTCTTCCACGCACTCCACAAGGACAGGAGCCTACTCAACATGACAGTGACTCTAGCAGGTAACTTGCTGTATTCTGGAGCTCGGAGTCCAGGGGTCTGTGGCCTCGTCCAGGCCCGCAATCTGTTTGCCAGCTTTCCAACTGACCGGAAGGCACCTCATATCAGGTGTTTTATAATCTCACAGATGAGGATAATTGTCTTCCCTACCAAGTGTTAATCTTCTACACTGCGCTCACGTACTTCAGTTTGTGTTTTGAGGCATAATTCATAAGGTGTCCTGAAACTCTTTTTTCTATATTCCAGAAACACATAGAACTCTTGCCCAGCCTTAGTTTTAAACTTCAACATTTTTATCTATAATTAAAATAGTTGGGCTTCTCTGCTCCTTGTCTTCTAGTAAGTTCATTTTGTGTTTGTGTTTTGAGGTAAGGTCTTGCTATGTTGCCCAGATTTGGGTTGATTTAGAGATCTTTCTGCCTCAGCCTCCCAGAATCCTGAGATTACAGATGTGTACCACCATATATTGCACATTCATTTTTATGCACCAATTTTCAGTTAAAATACAAACACAGGGCTAGGGTCATAGCTCAGTGGCATAAATGCTTGCCTGGCAAGCACAAGGTCCTGAGTTCGATCTCTGGTACTGAAATAAATGAATAAATAAATAAATAAATAACACAATTAATACCACTGCTTTCCTGCTTTAAAATCATCAAAATCTGTTTATTGCCTACTGATATAAGTCCCTGCTTATAATTTTCATCTTTCTCTCTCTCTCTTTCACACACACACACGCACACACACACACACACACACACACGGTTTTAAATTAGCTAAAATGATCTTACCGGTCTTTAAAGAAAAATATTTTCTTTCCCATTTTAGTGACAGCATCAAAACTCAAGTTGGGGTCACAGGCAGGTGGTGCCATGCTATCAGGGTGTGGCACTGGTTGGGGCTTTGCTGGACCCCCTGAAAATGCATTTCAAGAAGCATTCAGAAAAATTTGTGCAATATGATCATAAGAGAAAGAAACATTCTTTTATAAAACAATCCATTTTCTAGATAATAATGCATCAAAATCAATTTAAGTTTCCATAAAACTCATTTGAAGCATACACTAAGAATTTTTCCCATGTGGCTGCAGCATCAGTCATGGAGGAGAATAACTTGATCTCTTTGACTTTTTGCAGTTGGACTGTTTTGTCTTTGTGCCTTCTTCAACATGTCAAACAGGAAGAACACCAGACTTGAGGCCTCAAATCTAACACACTAGGTCTTGCACCCTCATCAGTGAGATGAAGATAATATCATTAGATTATTCATAAAAGTGAATACCTTTAGCTGGCAGAACGATGAAGAAGTCCAACTCACCATAGAGGGATTGAATGCCATGGATGTCGTCGGCAGAGAGGCGGAACGTTTTGGGGTCAAGATAGCCATAGTTGGGGAACATTATGGCCCTTCGATCGCTAGAATGGCCAAGTCCCAGAGAGTGGCCAAGCTCATGAACGGCAACGAGGAACAAGTTTCTTCCTACGGGGAAACCACCCCAGAGGGATAAAGCCGTGACACACATGTCATCTGTTTTCAACTGACACAGAAAAGTATACGCATTTGGAGAGTACCATGTGACATTTTGATATTGTGTACATTGGTGTAATATTCAAATGAAGGTGAAAATATCTGTTTCCTTAAGTATTTATTGTATTGTGGTAAAAACATTCAAAATGCTCTCCTCTAGCTTTTGGAATGATTCCCTACGTAACTGCTACCTATAACTATACAGCAGTGTGCCAGAGCTTCTTACTCTTATCTAACTGCTCTGATCCTCCCTCTCCCTGAATCTTGCTGGTGGCTGGTAACCCCCAGAATATTCTTAATTTAATGAGATCAGTTTTTTTATTAGGCTTCACAGTAAGTGAGATCATGTGGTGCTTGTCTTTTTGTGCTCAGATTTTTCACTTCCTGTGATGACTTTCAGTTCTAACCACGTGGCAGGATTTCACCTTTTTATGACTGAATATTATTTCATTGTATGTAGCATTTCTTTATCAATTCATTAATTGATAGACATTTATGTTTTCATTTCTTCCTTTTAATTTTGAAAACAATGATGCAACATCCAACACAGTGAAAAGGAAGCTTTTTAAAGGGCTTGAACTCTTCCCTTATTTCCCCATTGTCTTGAATAGGGTTTCTTCACTTCAGCATTCCTGATGGTGCAAAATGGATAGTTCTTTGCTGTCACTGTGGTCTTCTGCATTATAGGTGTTTAAACATCTATGTTTTACCACTAAATGTAAGTATAACCTCCCTCCAGTTTTAACAATGAAAAAAATGTCTCCAGATATTGTCCAGCATTGCACTGGGGACAAAGGTGCTTCCAGTTAAGACTATTGCATTGGTGGACAGGTAAAACATTCTGTTGCAGAATCTTTCAAATAAGCCATAGCTGTGTGCATGGAGAGGTAAACCTAGCTAGTGAGTCCTCTTTTCAAAAGACAAAAAAGCAAGAACTAAGTTACTGTCTCTATTCTGCATAAGACTCTGGGTAAATAAGCAAAGGCTTTACAGTTTATCTAAATCTGAATTTTTTTCTCCTCCCAATTCTCCTAATGCTTTTATATAAAAGAAATCATCATTGGTCTTCATTTCCAAATAATGAATTTAGATTTGCACCCTTCTTCTCACCAGACTGCATGTCCACGGGCAGGGCTCTGTCTCTTTCATTTCTGTATCCCAACACTATCACTCAACACAGTGATAGAAACCCAGTATCATTGACATACCTGCTCTTTTAATTTACTGGGTCAAAAATAGGCTGAAAATGAGCATCTTAAGGTAGAATTTTTATAAATAACTTTGAAAGCCTAGACTCAAGTCAATTAAAAAATAAGGCCAAAGGACAGGAAATATGTGTTCAGAGTCAGTTTTTTCACAAACCAGCCACTACCCTTCTCCTGGTCTCAGTTTTTCTGTCTGAACAGAGCTGCATCAGATAACTTTTCTAAGATCTTTTAGAATTCCAAAATTGAGTGTAGCTAATAAACACAATTGTCTCACTTCAGATGAAGAGTTGATGACATCCACATTACCTCAGATGAAACTGAAACACATTTAATATGTCTGGCTGAGGATTTCCAGTTCGCTAAGTACTTAATCCTACATGATTTGCTTTCACAATAGAATTTGATAAGCCTTAAGCTATGTGTCAGACTAAAACAGCCTTTCTACTGGACATATTGTCTATAAAAATACTGGTCTGCAACATGCACAGTGTTGGCCAGAGGAAGGATACTGAGTAATCCATATTCTTTCTCCCTGCTTAATTTCTAACCAAGTGAGTTTCATAATCTAGTATTCCCAGTACAGAATTAAAAGGCTCCTGGAAAGTTTGAATTTTCCCATGGTACTAATCCCCTGAAATAATAGATGTGCTTACTTCTGCTCGGCCCCCATTGTCTGAGGCATAGGATGAGCGGCCATGGGCAGTAAGTGCACACATGCACTATTAAATAATTGGCTGGACATTCTGAAAGGCATGCCAGGACTGCACAGTGCGTACGACCGTCACTGTGTGCTTTCCTATGTGGACCTCTAAATTCTCTATGTTTATCTTTTTGTATCCCTAGAAAGCCATGCAATTATGGTATTGTAAAATGAATCACACACAATAACCTTATCTTACGTCTTGGCACTCAAAGAATTAATCCTGGTGTTTGCCTTTCAGTTCATGGATTTTGCTATCAAGCCCAAAACAACAACTTCTGCCTCTCCAGAACTTTCTACTAACGAACTAGCTTGTAGCTCGTACAGTCCTCAGAGACCAACTCTTAGGGATAATTTTTAAGCTAATCTAGTCTAAAAGTCTCAATTCATAAGGAGTGAAGCTGAGACTCAGATACAGTGTTTTTATTTAGACAAGTACTTATGATCGAACAGGGGTTTTCACGCTGTACTCTTTTCTCAGAATGATGTCCTTCTGAATTAGGACCTATTGTAAATTCTGTTTGCCTTTTGTGTGTTCTGCGCTTGTCTGCTCCTACCTCTGAAGTCTGGGCTCCAGGTTTCCGCCTCATCAAAATGTGCATCTCCTCCACGACCAAACCCAGGTGCAAAAGCATGAGCTAAGGTCCCATCTTTGCCATCAAAAGGATTGAAGTCACCATGATCTTTGAAAAAAATGAAAGAAGATAAGTGCTTCTGTCTATGCTACAAATCATGCCGAATCACACCGACGAAGTCTGAGCTCTTTACCTCCATAAGCAAAAAATATCATGATGTCAGCCTCGCCCACGTTAACCTTTCTGAATTTCAGCGGGGTCACATCACTCCACACTTGAAAAGCTTTTTGAATGGCGGCATCCACGTCTTGACGCCTCATGTCGGGGGTGTAATTATTGATTCTTTAAGAGAAAAAGAGAGAAAAGATATGGAAGGCATGTGCTAATGTTGCCTCATCGGGGTATTTTAGTTCTGTGACTGCCACTGGAAGATGAGTCATTTCATAATTCAAGAGTCCTGATTTCATTTTTAAAATGCTTATTTAAGTATAAAACCCTAATTACTTGAACAACTTTCTCCATCAAAATTTAACGTAATTTTTCTTTACTTGTGTGTAATAGGTCATCACAATGAAGGCTTTACTTTACAGAAGCTTTACCTGCTGCCCCTGCTCCTGGACTCTCAGTCCTAGCCAGCTTGACTGTGAACTTTCTCCTGTCCCTGCTGATATTTATCCACCTTCCTCCTTCTCTTCCTTGCTGCTTTTTTCTGGACTCTGTGGCAAGCCAGGCAATTGCAGCTCTTCCTTGAGTGAACAGTCCTCTCTGCCAGACACTAGAAAGCTCAGCACCCAGACAGTGATAACGACAGACACAAGCTGTCTAGCTGCTCTGGAAAGCGGGTCACCATCTAACTAGTGCAGCCCTCTGGGATCCAGGCCAACGCGGGAGCAGGAAACGCGGGGCTTCGCTCAGCTCCCTTACCTGTAGGTGATAACGTGGCTCTTCCACGCCTGCCCCCCCAGCGTGCTGAACGCCTGCACGTCGGGCACTCCGCATCGAGGAGCGCGCATCACCTGCAGGGTACGTCTGTCCAGTTGCCCGGTCACTTCCAGCCCAAAGAACTCCTGCATTTCCTGGATTTTTTCTTCTAGAATGTTTGTACGTAATTTCATCATTTTCACTGGATTGCTGTCTGTGTCATTCAAGTGGTAAAATTTTATCAAATAGTTCTGGAAAAAGATATATTCAATAAAGCATAAAAATGTTTCTGTTGGGATTTCTAAATATATATATGACTCAGCTGCACACCTATGTTTTTGAGCCAAGTATTTTAATCATCACTTGTCATTTTCTGGACAGTTATAATGAGAAAATATTTTTAATTTTCTGAGCTAGCAAATGTATGTCATAAATTTTTAATCAGTATTTGCTTCTGGTAGAAAAATCTTCCAGTAGAAAAATCTTCATGTTTTACTACTTCAGCCTTGTTTCCACTTAATTGCAACTTCAAGAAAGTCCTGGCATTCCATAAATGTCAGAGTCTTTACTGTTGGGATACTTACATTGGGATAGAAACATGTAGCTTGGCCAGAGGTGTAGCTCAATGGGTGAGCCCCTGCCTGCTTTCATGGCTTATGTGTAGATGTGCCCCAGCCCCAGCTTTGTGTGTCATAGGTGAGGCTTTCAGAGGAGGCTGGATCTAGGGTGTGTGCTGCTGGGATTATGTGTGTAATGCTAGGCCCAAGGGCATGTGGCTACTGAGTTAGTCCTCTGACTGCTTAGCACCGCTCTGGGCGTGGGAAATGAAAGGCCCATGCGAGCGAGCTTGTGGCCTGGGTAGAATACAAGGGACAGCATGAGGGCTGCTGCGCCCCCGCTGCCTGCTGCTGTTGCTGGCTCTGGCCTTCTCTCTTCCATGCCATGAATTGTTTTCTCTTCTCTGTGAAGCAGCTCTGCCATGAAACCCCACCTCAGAGCCAGTCAATCATGGACTGAAACCTCTACAAACCAGGATCCAAACTAAACCTTTCCTCTTTTAACTTCGAGAGTTGGCTATTTTATCTCAAAAACAAAATGCCTATCATACGCAAGGCCTTGCATTCTGTTGGTAGAATGCTAAACAATGTCAAAAAACCCCCTCAAAACTTGACAGTGAGCAACTAGGATAAATTCAAAGAGAAAATATAGTCCAGTAAATATTCAGAAAACTAAGGAATAAGGTCATCTAAGCCCATGATTTAGAAGATAGCCTGGGTAATATAACAACAGCTTGTCTCTTCAAATAACGGAACTTAACAAAAAAAGGGGATACAGATGAATGTCCATGTTGTATCTGTGTATTCAAAGTGGTTAGGATAGATATATGGTTACATTCTCTAAATGAATAGAGGGATTTGTTCTAATGGTGTTTGTAAATAGGATATCATGTCCGCATCTTGTACAGCAATTAACCACTAGGAAGAATGTATGCAATGTGTTAATTATTGAAACTGTTCTACCAATTTGATTTGAAACTGTCTCATTGCTATTTATCAATAAAATTATGGAAAAAATTAAAATTAAAATTAAAAAAAATTTTTAAAAAAGAAAATCTTTCTCAAACCCTTAAAAACAACAGCTTGTCTCAATAAACTAAAAGAAGAATGGAAAGAAATTTAGAAAATAGAAAATTAAGCTTTTAACTAGAGGAAAAACAATAGCTGAAAGGTTGTGTTTAAAAAATGTTTAAGAGCTTGGTGTGGTGGTGCACACCTGTAATGCCAGCACTTTGGAGACTGGTGTATGAGGATTGTCATGAGTTCAAGGCCAGGCTGGTCTACATAGTGAGTTCAAGACCAGCCTGAACTTCCTAGTTAAGCCCTGTCTCAGAAAAATCAAAATAAGTAAATAAATGTAAAAGAATTTAAATGCTTATGGAGAATATCTTGGATGAATGTGAATAAAAGAAGTATGATGAAATTGATGAATAGGAGCTCACAGCAGTTAAATAAGGCACTGAAATCTCAGCTTTTGAATTGGCACAAAAAGACTAATTTAAAACGAAATAATAGAAGTGAATCCCAGTTATATTGGATCAATATTCCTTGGTCAAAGGTTTTTAGTACAAGGGACAAATATCCCCAATTTCATAGCACTTCTTCAAAGCCAGTATTTCTTTCATATTTCTCTATGGTAAATAAAAATTCAACACAAAACTAACCTCTGATACCACTTTTTAAATGACGTTCTTCAAAATAAAATTAGTAAATACAATAAATATTAAAGATGAAAATCAGGTTAGGTAAATTCTAAGTGTCACTACTTACTCTAGCAAATTCTGTAAAACTTTTTGTTTTTCTTTCATCGTGGTGGTGAAGAGGTCCAGATGCAGCGACTGGTAGGACCAGGATCAACAGAAGAAACTTCATTGCTGCTGGTCCCTCGGGAGTGGCTCACCTCAGCTTACGCTTCCCCTTGCACATGAGTTCCTCAGCTGTCCCTATTTATATAACCCATAGCCCAGACTATGAAATCCTTGGAGTGACTCACAGTAGATATCATCTGTCCGTCTCAAAACCCTGTGTCTTAGTTACTTTTCTCTCATTGCTGGGACAAAATACCTGACACCCAAGTTAAAGAGGGAAAGGTATATTTAGCCCACAGTTTGTGGAGGTTTCAGTCCACACTCAGCTGGCTCCAAGCAGGGTGGCACAGCAAAGGGGCAACTGTGGTGGAAGATACAAATGTAACAGAAGAAAAAAAGGAGGGGGATAACAAGTCACTCTTCCTCCCTATATTGTAAGCAGGCCACCTGCCCTAGGTTGAATGTAGCCCTCACACCAACCTGCCTTTTGCATAGGTTAAGGATGTTTACCAAGTGAAGACCCTGGCCCCTGCTGAGCTGGGCTGGAACCCCTGTAACTCTGTTTCCTGAGGTGAGGGTATGGAAACAAGAGGTTCAGGTTTAACAAGCTGTCTTTACAAAGTCCACCCCCATGACCACATGAGACTTTGGGGGGGCATCCAGACACAAACCACAGAGCCAGGCAAGTCCAAGCATAGCGCTATTGGCCTAGTCATGGGTCACTTAGCGTCTGGTCCATCACTCACAGAGGTACCCCAAGGTATATTTCTTTAAAAGGATAAGCAAGCCTCCACTTACACCCATTCTACCAAATAAGTGCTTGTGCAAACAAAAATCAAAGCAAACCCAAGCACCTTGAATGGAGAGATAACTTATAATACAGTTTTAGAAAACTTAGTATTAGCTTTCATTATAATACTTCCTTATGAGTATTCATTACGAGTAGATCAGTTTTAGAGTAAATTTTAAAGGATCACATAAAGAGCATTTTTTTCCTACACTGGATGAGTCCTCTCTGAACTGAAAAGAGAACCGTGACAGAGAAACTTTATGATTAGCAAGGGAAAGCTTGCAGCATCGCCGTGCTTTAATGTTGGCTCTCCATGTTCTGCAGGACCTAGTTCTATTATTGGAGACCTTTTGCCATCAAACCCAAAAGCCACTTTCAAACAAGTGTCAGGAGAGACTCTGGGGGCAAACTTCCCCTACCTCTCAACTGTCTGGGGGGCGGCAGGGTGAGGGTTAACACCATTCATTCAACTTTGGGAAACTGGAAAAGTTTGCCTCCAGAATCCTTCCACTGGGCCAGGGAGACAGCTCAGTGGCATAAGCACCTGTCTGCAGTGCAAGGTGCTGAGTTCAATTCCCAGTACCAAAACCAAAACAAAACAAAAAGTAGACTCCTTGCATCTCCTTATCAATTCTGCTTCCTTCTCTCTCGATCTAATTCTGTCATTTCTGGAATCTGCCCCTCATATTTGAAGACAGAAGACATTTAAGAGTCTAGGAATGCTCTCCAAAGACAAGCAGTGGGCTGCTGGGAGGGCCAGGCTAGTACAACACTCCTGCCAGTAGCGCCACAAGCTACCTGTCGCTCAATTCTTCGTGAACAATCTTGTGGATGGATGGAGTAGGAGGCATGTGATGACGTGCTACACCTTAATCACTCCTCAGACCCACCTTTCTGGCCTTTCTTTTTCTAAGTCGGAGATTCCAGAATAATGATTCCTTTTTCAATTAGAAGGAAAAGCAGGCTCCGTGCATTCTCCTGTGATTCTACCTTGGGGCCCTGCCTTTGCCAAGTGCTGTGATTTACCCATGTGGGTTTTCAGGTGTTTCGTTTGAAACACAGATAATGACTCTTGCCCTTTTGTTCTTCTGCAATGATGAAATGAGACAGTGGATGATAAACCCAGCATACAAGAGAGTTGCTCACTGAGAGTCCTGCTCTCCCCTCTGACCCGAGCGGAAGATCATGCGCTGAGTCTGCAAACAGATGTGGCTCTTTATGAAGAAGAAGGAGGAGGAGGAGGAGGAAAAGAGGAGGAGGAGAAGAAGGAGAAGGAGAGAAGAAGAAAGAGAAGGAGAAAGAGAAGTTGCATGGGAAAATCATAATGCAATCTTTCCAAACAGTTTAATGATCATAAATGGAGCATAACAGAGTTGGTCTAGAAAGTAGCAAAAAAAAAAAAAAAAAAAAAAAAAAAAAAAAAAAAAAAAAAAAAAAGGGAGGGGAAGGGTTTGTTTTGAAAATACAAGGGAGCTGATTTTTCAGCTACTGTATTGTTCATGCAAAAAACTAGCCTGAAGTTAGTGTATGCTCAGTAAAGGTGTGAACGAATTTAGTTGGAGAATGCCAAGGACATCAGTAGTGAAGGACCCAAGAGGAGCGACTATTGCTTAGAGGATGTGTCCCTAACCCTCACCAAAAGCAAGAACTGGTCTAACCCACACCTGGAAAGAATCCGGTTTTTTTTTAAAGATTTGCAGGAAGTATCTTGAGAGTGTAGGATGTAAAATTCCAGGAGACATTAGTTACAAAGAATTTTTTAAAAAAATGTTTTCATTAGAAATAAAGACAGTTGGGGCTGGGCAGATAGCTGCCTGGCAAGCACAAGGATCCAAGTTCATTCCCCGGGATCACTTGCTATTCAGGCCCTGAAACCTGGTGTGGTGGCGCATGCCTGTAATTCCAGCACTGCGGAGGCTGAGGCAGGAGAATCACTACAAGTCTGAGCTGCGTAGTGAGATCCTAAACCAAATACATAAATAAATTAATAAATAAATAAACAAAATGTTTTTTTTTTAAAAAAAAATTACAAAAGAAATAAAGAATATGACACCCAAATTTTCATTCTCTTTGGGTCATGCCTGACCAAGTTCCCCAAGTCAGTCAGTATAAGCAGAATGGCCGCTGGGCTGCCACGGGTGCTACAGTGGTTGTTAGAAGCTCAGGTCCTGCAGCCAGGCTGGCTTGATTTAGAACCTGAGAGCCACCACTGTACAACCTGTAGCAGTCACCATCTCTTCCAAACTAATGTTTTCCACTGGTAAAATCATAGTAATAATTGTTTCCACCTCAAGAGTTGTTATAGATATTGCATTAACTAAAAGGGTAAAGTATTTAGCCCACTACCTGACATAGTTTAAGGGTTCTTTTTTTTTTTTTCCTTGTGGAACTGGAGCCTGTACCAGAATCTGGTGGTTACTAGCTTCCTTTACAATGCTCTATTTAAAGCATTTTAAAACGAACTGGTATCCTGGTGTGGTGGCTTACCCCTCGGATCCCAGCGAGGGAGGCTGAGGTAGGAGAATCATGAGTTTGAAGCCAGCCTGAGCTACATACGTAAGCCCAGCATGGGCTATCCAGTGAGATGCTGTTGCAAAAAATGGGAGGGGGCTGGGGAGGTAGCTCAGTGGCGTATGTGCTTGCCTTGTAAGCACAAGGTCCAGAGTTTGATCCCTGGGAGGGGGGGAGAGAGAGGATGACAGCAGGGATGAAGGAGGAGATCAAGCCCCTACGCAGCTCTCTCTCCAGGAGAGAAGGAAACACGAAGCCATTCTGCCCAAGGCCAGACTAGAAGCTAGGAGAGGTGCTGCTTCCAGGGGACCTGTCAGGGGCCAGGAGAATCCAAGCACTAAGAGCAGAGCTCTGGGAAGAACAGCGTGTTTTATGGAAGTGTAGGCAGTAGTCAAAGCAGAGCTCCTCAAGAGAAAGACAGCTTGTGCTGCCAAGACTCCCCCTTGGAAAGCCATATTTGACAGCACAAAGCTTCCCAAAGCGCCCATCGTGTCTGGACAGCTTCCTTCCTTTGATCAGACACCAGGACACTCAAGGCAAAATCCTGTCACCAGCAGCCACCTGCGGTGTCATCCTCAGGGATCCAGAGGCACTGAGCTTCAAATTCACAGAAAAACCTCTAGCTGACCCTTTCATGCAAACAGCCTACTCATGTAAGAAAGGAACTTCAATCAGTAATGTGCTCCTTGTATGGCTAGAGAAGTGGGAGTCTGAAACAGGGAACTATGTTGTATAAGGAGACATTGGAAGGTCCCCGGACTGTCTGCTCTTCCTGCTAAAACACACCTTGTTGCCATTTACAGTATACATCTACTGTAATTGTTGATTACTCAGACTTTGCTTCATATTTCTGTCTCCCTAATAACTACCTTACTGAAAAACTCCAAAATTGCACTGTGCTATCCTCAAGCTTTTTAGTTGGAGCCACGCTGTCCCCTCATCGTCACATGTGCCAAGAGAGACTGGGCAGTGTGGGCTGTATTGCAAGCGTGTGAATTCTCCAGGGCCTGGGCCCCTGGCCTGGCGCTGTCAGCACAGGGCTCTGCTGCTCAGTGCCTTCTGATGTCAGGCCCCTGAGGAGTGGGGCCGGGCTCTCTGAGGAGCACAGTGTTGGGGTCACCAGTCAGTTCAGCAGACTTAACCCCAGGAGCTGCTACTCAGCTTGCACTTGGCAGGCAGACAATGCCAGAACAATTGCTCGGATGCTACCGTCTTCTAAGTTAGCTTAGGCCAGAGGTGCTCAAAGAGCTTCCGAACCTCCAGGCATCCTTTTCAAGGAAGTCCTAGAATGTTTTCTCAAAAGATCTGGAATGTGTCAGATTTGGGAGATTGGGTAGTAAGGACAACCACGCGGAGGGCAGCCCTGAGAAAGGAAGCGGAGGGAGGATGCAGGGACGACGTAGGCAGCAGGCTTCCGTCATCTTGGCACTTTTGTTCCTTTGGAAGTGGCCCTCTTTTCATGATGACGAGCTAAGACACAAACTACAGCAGAAGGCAGTGCCCCGCATGCACACGGGTGGAGACAAGGCAGAGTTGCAGGCGTACACGTTGTTAGTGAAGTCTTTAATTTCCTGCTCTTGAGGACGGTGTGAGCAACTCAGACAGAAATGAACTGACTCTGACTTTGCAGCCCAGTTGGAAAGCAGAGAGTAAGGCTGCCTTGGAGTCCACTGGGCTCGGGGTGGGCTGTGCGGTCTAGAGCGAGTTATCTCAGTTCAATTTCCTGATCTACAAATGACTGCTGTGAGGATCAGACAAGAGAAACCGCTCAGCGCTGCGGCTGACCCCAGAGCGCCCTTCCCACGG